ATTAAGTAGTAATCAGTCATGAGAAAATTAACCTGAACACAGACATGATCACAAATGATTCTCCAAAAAAACTCAAAGCACAATTTTTTAAATTATTACCACAACCAATAGCAGCACACAGTAAGGCACTTGTTTTGTCAATCCGTCTCTGTGCTGGGACGCAACGCTCGCACCTCGCAGATCGACGGACGGAACTCAACTGAAACGCTCAGCAATCTGCCGATATCCGACAGATTGTAAAAATTGGCAGAAAATATATGGGAAAGTGCAACTACTCTTTTCCTTCTACTATGGCTTTAATGGTAGCTTGCTCCAAAGTAGTAGTCACTATCCTGTTCCCTAAGTCATTTTTCTAGACAGTTTTTCGTTTGGTTTGGTTTCAAATGTTATGTGCAGACTGAGATTACCTTCCTTAGACTTTTTATACAATGATGGTTACAAAAAAAAACTGATACCAACATATGTTACTAATTTAAAATATTTTAAACATCTCTGTGGTTTAATATCCAACAAATACCGGCCGTAAATAACAACGAGAAGACCGACGGAATAAACAATTAATGGAAACATAATTCCGGGCAAAATTGCACGAGATTAAATGATTCATGCATTATTTTCAATATTTACATAAATACGATATCGAAAGACCGGGCCAGGGGTAGCAATAGCGATCTGTTGTTTAACCATCCCCTGCTCTTTCTATTAATACTAAATTGATGACGCGCTTAATATAACATTGGTTATATCCACTCTGTAGACATTTAGCCGGTTGATTAAGTATTGTCAGCGGTTTTGTCTGGCCCAATATTAATACGATATACGAGATTTTAATATCAACAGTTTTTATTAAAATAAAAAATGTGATAAAATGACATACGATTTTAAATAAAAGAACATAAATATTAAACAAACAAAATACAAGAAGCATAAATATTAATTACAAAAAGGAGATTATGACAAGTCTAAAAATTTTTTGACTTTTGAATAAAAAAAATAAATAGCAGGTTATGTTTATTCTTGCCTTTTTAAAAAAAATTAAAGGTTGCTATTAGACTTGGATTAAGGCAAGTTAATAAAACGGCGTCATAACTTCGTTATAGTCTTTAAACGTCAAATTTGCTATTTTCTTAAAATTTGTTCATATTTTCGCAGCACTTACACCTTCCTTGGACTATAGGCTTGGCGCATTTCAGTTGATTTCAACAAATTCCGACCGCAGCGCACTCTACGGCAGAAATCAGAAAATATCAAGATATAGTTCACGCCGCGCCGCGCCGCCGCCGTCATGTTAATCGCATTAAAATAATATTGAAATCGGGGTTTTGTCATAATATTTAACAATTTTAGTTTTTTACTAGTGCAGTTATTGATACTATAAAACACTCAGGTACGAGGTTTGCGTGATGTAACGCTGTTTCGGGTAGTAAAAAATAAATGAAAAAGAGAATTCGAACTAGGCGTCTTGTGTTGTGACAATTTCAAATGTTAATAAAATTGCCGAAAAAATGCTAACGCGTAAAGGAGAGCGTCATTAGGGCGTTGTTGAGTGCAATAATATTCAATAACTCAACTTTCCCGGATATTCAACTCTCCCGAAACATTTTATAGCTTCACAGTTTCTTATGGCGCGTTCTCACGACTCGTGTACTTGACAAACATTTGTAATTGGTATACAGGGTAATACATGGTGCGTCGGGCATCTATACAGAATTTCTGAGTTATTTATTATAGGAACTATGCCACATTCTCGCTAGACCCTGTATGCCAATAAAAAATACTTGCCAAGTAGACGAGTCGTGAGAATGCGCCTTTCACCGATTTGATCAAATAGCAAAAATGGATTCAAGCAGTTCGACGAAACAAGTGAGTAAACAAACTGCTCATTAGATAATCAAAAAATTAAATAGACATATACAAGGCATATACTATGAGAGGATGAAATATAATTTGTGTGTGCGATATTAATGGTATACTTTTTTAATCAACTAGTGATTAAATGGTTTATGAACATCTAAAATTATACGATCAAACGAACTTACCTGAAGTGAAGTTCGATCGTAATTATATGAGGCGTCCAGTCCGAATGTATTATCTTCCCACCCCTCCCGTTTTGCCCCATGGTCGCTTGAATTAATGAATAAATCTTTGAAAAATGAATACCGACCGCCGCGCCAGGGCCGGCACGGCCACCTAGACTGGTAGCGGGAGGGAATTTAGCTTATAGCTTTAAAATTGTGCACGCAGGGACGGTACTACGTATAGAAAAATCAAGATAATACATTCGGACTGGACGCCTCATATAATTACGATCGAACTTCACTTCAGGTAAGTTCGTTTGATCGTATAATTATATTCGCGTCCAGTCCGAATGTATTATCTTGATTTTTCTATACGTAGATGTTTAAAGAACTGATGGTTGCAAATTAATGAATGCGGTGCAGAAAGCATTTTTTTTTGAGACAAAAATAGCTGAAATTATAAATATGTTTATTGAATGCAACCAAGATGAAACCAATTTAACGGCCATCAATACATGGATTTATTAAATTGTGACAATTTAACATATACATATATGCATACTAAGCAGAGACAGAAACCCATAAGATGGCACTTCCATAAAGGATTCTGCCAAAATTGTTCAATTATACTTTATAAACCAGTTAACTCATCGTGTCGATAGAAATCCCTGTCTCAATGTAGAACTGCGTGGATAACTCGACTATAGTGAGGTTTAACCGATATATATATATATATATATATATATATATACCCATATATATATATATATATATATACATACACATATATATATATATATATATACATATACATATATATATATATATATATATATACATATACATATATATATATATATATATATATATATATATATATATATATATATATATATATATATATATATATATATATATATATATATATATATATATATATATATATATATATATATATATATATATATACACACACACACATATATATACATATATATATATATATATATATATATATATATATATATATATATATATATACTTATATATATATATATATATATATATATATATATATATATATATATATATATATATATATATATATATATATATTTTAAGGTGTTTCTAACCCATTGCTTAATATTTAAAAGGCCTTACTTTTTAAGCCATTAATATTAGACAACATTTGAATGTTAGACTTTGGTAGTAAGAAATCAAGATTCTCAATAATTTATTTTCCAAAATGCTTTAATTACGTCGATGAATTAAACCAGAGTCATCATATATATTAGGTTTCGATCCATACATTGGTATGGATATGTGGTTTGATGATATAAAAGTAGACACAGATATTGATCTGTGTCAATTTTTATACCAGAAGTTTTATTATTATTTGTATTATTTATTTATTTATTTTTTTATTTTTTTTTTGTTGATAATTTTCAGTAACTATGATATGCACATATAATTATATACTGACTAAAAACAAACTGACATCTGTCTCTGATAACTAAGGTTAAACGTGAAACCAATATATGATTTATTATTTTTCATAGCCAGTTCACGGCAAGAATTATATAATCTATTTATATAGTACGTAAAACTGCAAGAAAACTATTTCTACTTTATGATTTAATTGATATGTCCATTCTTTCCGAATTCTAGATAAGAAAGTAGAACTGTTAGGGAACATTTATGGTAAAATTTTAATGCAGTAAACCTTAGACACATCATATCTTAAAAAAGCCTCTTTCAACGAGAAACCATCCAGATCTATTTAAGAAAAAATTCAAAGTCTGCGAAAGTTTACATTAATGTTATTATAATCATCTCTTTCGAAAGTGTATTGTAGAGGAGAAAATATATATTATATACTGTAAGCTGTAAGAAAAAACTAACTTTTTGTTTCGATAATTTGCACAAAGTCTGTCACTTTGTCAAAATGTATAAAGTATTGGCCAAAACACAACACTGCTTTTATAGACCAAAATGGGTAAATATAAACTCTAAATGTAGATGGTGAGTATTCCAACATATGAAAATCCAAGATTTACATAAACAAATTAGCATTTAACAGCCGTTATCATAAGGACCTCCTTTTGAAATGAGACACAGTTACGTGTTTCTTAAGATTTAGACTAAAACTTACATTTCCATTAGAATAGCTTTAGCCAAAATAGAGAAATTTCTTTAGCCAAAATAGAGAAAATAGACGTTTTTTTTTTTCTTTTTATCATATATACATACACACATTACATATTAGCTATGAAAATCTAGGATATTAGCTATTTTATTATTATATACATATTTGAGTTATTATTATTAGCTGGTCAGCTAAGTTGATTACTTTTAATGACTTGGAGGTCAACGTTAAGTTGGTTGTCGCCTATTTTATGGTAGGAGGCTGGCAAGGCAGCAAACTGGAGGGTACCTAATGAATTGGCCGCTCGTGCCTCATGTATCACCCCCCTTCTTTTTTTCAAAGAAGGAAGGTAAAGACATATTCGAATATCTGTCACAAATATCTGGATACATTCCTGTTGTTTGTATCTTTTCCTCTAAGCAAGGGGTTCAAACGTAAATTTATCCAGAGGTCCTTTTTCCTCATGATTTTCATTTGAAAATCCTTCAGAGGAAAAATAGTTGATACCTTTTGTACAAGATACCGTCAACCACATTAGGACTATGCGTCCGGTATCTATAACAACCGTCCATATTTGTTCCATGATATATTTATGAATATTTTTCTCTTCCTTTAAAAGAATATTGAGTCTACGACGACTATTGTTAAATTTTATAACCCAGATATATATATATATATATATATATATATATATATATATATATATATATATATATATATATATATATATATATATATATATATATATATATATATATATATATATATATACATATATATATACATACATATTTTTTTTTTAAGAGTTTGATTTCGAAAATATGCTGGACTTCATCTTAACAATTATGACACAGGAGAGGATAGGCGACATGCCATGGCTCCTTTGTAAATTAGGGAGTTAAAATATTTTCTCAGATATAAAAGTTGGACCTTGTTCTGTGCTGAAGCCAGATCATTGGCTAAGACTGAATTCGTCTCCCGAAGAAGAATGTATCATCATCGAAGAGTCGAATGTTCTGTAGTCTCTTTGGATTGCCCTTCCCCCAACAAACTGCACAAATCGCTAGATTTGGTTATTTTCCTCTTCCTAGTTGCTGACCTTGTGTTCGATCTGTTATGAGATAGTGACACTTAAATAACGACTGTCCTGCTTTTTGAACGTACAGCCTTATAAATATAATGTGTGGAGGAGTTTTCCTGTTGAAATATATCGTTTATTTTTTTTTTGAGGGTCTAAAATTTTTTGATTTATCACTTGAAATTCTTTTGTGAAATCTACTTCTACGATAACGAGACCGAGAACGTCATTTATAAAGGAATCCCTTTCACACGGAGAAGGGCATTCACTAAAATTAAAAAATTTTGTATCATTGAGACAACAACACTTCGGTTATTATAATATTATCTCGATAGCGAGCTCTGGAATATCTTAAAAAGGAATCCCTCTCACACGGAGTAGAGGATTATCTAAAAGTACTAACCTTTGTCTCGCTATGAAAAGAACACTGGGAGAAGAACAGTCCGTGTTTATACAATATTCCTCATCCCTTTGTTTTCTCCTTTCCTCTAATCCCCACATTTCGGGATGTACTTCTATTTATTTCCATCCAATATTCGTCTAAAAATAAATATTCTAAAAGACTTACATATAATACGTGTAATTAATTTTTCGATAAGGCTATCGATAACGTATAAAAGAAATCCCTCCCACACGGAGACGGGCATTCTCTAAAAGTACGAAATTTTGTCCCACTGGGAGATACTGACCGCCGCGCCAGGGCCGGCACGGCCACCTAGACTGGTAGCGGGAGGGAATTTAGCTTATAGCTTTAAAATTGTGCACGCAGGGACGGTACTACGTATAGAAAAATCAAGATAATACATTCGGACTGGACGCGAATATAATTATAATTATGTACCTTTAAAAAATTTCGTTATGCCCCACTAGCAAAACCGGTGATAAAACTATGCTAATTTTTTTTAACTGGTATAATAAATTATAATGCAAGTTAGACCTTCGGAAGATATCAAAATATTTACCTTTTTATTTTTTTGTTTAGAATTTCCACAAATTACACTTTCTAACACTTTTAGAATAATTATATACTAATTTTTTTGTTTGCTCGCCATTTAAACGACTTATTATTTGTATGTATTCGTTATTTACGAGTCCTCCGATGGTGGCAGCACCGGCGGAGAATGCACCAAGCCTATACAATAAAAATATTTAAAAAAATTGGTTGTGAAGTGCGAGTCGGACTCGCGCACGAAGGGTTCCGTACCATTCATTATCTATACAACCTTAGAAACTATATTATTATAATTTTTTTTCCGATTTAGCTGAAATTTTGAATGCGCGTATAAGTAATTTAAAAAAAAATGAAGAAACACATTACTAAAAATAGTATTAATCAATAATACATATATAAAAAGTAAAAATAAATATGTAAAAATTAAAAAAAAACGATTAAAAAAAGTCGCCTTGGCTAGGATTCGAACCTGCCTTACTACGGCTCCATCGTCATAGCAGCGTAAAGTCCTAACGCTTTAAAACCACGCGGCCACTGAGAACTTGAAAGATTCTATGTAAAATTCTTACTTAAAAGATAATGATTAGTGAAAGTACTTTTTTATTTATAAACATTTATTTAATTCTGTTTTTAGTATTTGTTCTTATAGCGGCAACATAGATACATTATCTGTAAAAATGTCAACTGTCTAGCTATAACGGTTCATGAGATAGACATCTGTGACAGACGGACGGATGGACGGACGGACGGACAGCGAAGTCTTAAGGTGCGTATTCATTATCCGCACGAACGAACGAACGAACGAACGAATGTTCGCTAGTGGTATGGACGGGGACCGTGGTATAGACGGCGCCGACGTCCACTAAAACATTTCGGCCTGTAGAGGTCAGATTCCTACCTCTACCTATCTACGATAGTCGAGTCACCGCCTTCGCCGGACTGGTACCGATTCAGTGCGCGTACACCTTTAGCCCGTGGTTACATTGGATGCGTGTCCGTACGTTTTTTTAGTCGGAATAAAAAATGTGGTTGGACGTGCACGCAGCAAAAAACAAACAAATGGTATCTACGCAGGCGGTTACATTGCATTTGCGCGTCCGTGCACGTACGTCGATTTCCGTTGGTCGGATGAAAACAAACGTTTGTTTTTTTAATACGTGCACGTCCGAGCGTTGGAATTTTTATATCTCTGGGCCCAATACATTCCCGAAAAATTTGAATATTTTTAAATACCAAGTTTATTTTTATTTTAGATATATTAATATTACTGGAAACATTCTAAAATATTCAAAAAAATTGACCGGTTGCTGTTTTAATTCACCAAATATTTTTCATATTATTTTTCTTCCCCTTTTAGCATTATAAATCATTTACCTAACATTTTCTTCTGTTCATAAGTAGTTATTTTAACATTAAATCCTCATACATCAAAGTAGTGGCGTCGTTTTGAGAAATTTGACACACAGGACACCATGAATACGCATCTAATGTAAGCACTAAAATAAAATAGTCGTGCGAGTAAATTCCGTCAGAGCTCACACGTTTAAAAAAACGCACGGACCCGCGTCCAATGCAACCGCGGACTTTAGGTGAGTTTATATGCATCCGTAATGCGTCGTCCGTCGTTCCGTCACTCCAATCATATTTAAGTATGATCTGTTATTTTTCAAATAAACCAATAAAATTGCATAAAATCAACGACGGACGTCGCATTACGGATGCATGTAAACCCAGGCTTAAGCTTGATTTTCATGCATCCGTTGTCCGACGATACGTTGATACGATATACGATATTAATTTTATTGGTAGAATTTAAAGACTTTGATTGGTTAGAAAATAATGCAGTTTTTAAATTTATTGCATTTTCATGCCTCCGTTTATCGGATATACGTTGGAGTTATTTTATATTTTCATTTCCATAACGATTTTGCTATTTTACTTATATTTTTATTAAGGTTAGATTAAGTTTGTCAAAAAAGTGTCAAAACGTCCATTATCGTACGAACGGGTCCGTTGACGGGCTGAAGTAAAATATTTACGGATGAAAAGTGGCGCGAAAACGCTATGACTTGGCTATGACCAATCAGAGCACCGTCGGACCATCGTATCAACGTATAACGGATGCATGAAAATCAAGCTTTAGTAATAGGGTTCCCGTTTTTACCCTTTGAGTACGGAACTCTAAAAATCAAAATTGGCCAAATAAATCCAGCCAATTACAATTCAAATAGCCAAAGCTTTTTAAAACCACACAGATTATGAAAAACAACAATAACTAAAAAACAATAACGGCAATCTTTTTAAAACTCATCCAAATGAACTGCAAATAGGACGGGAAACATCCGTGATGGGCCGGGACCGTTTGGGCCATATCAATAATTTGAAAAACCGCGCCGTCCCATACGTGCTGCGGCTTTTACAGTTAATGGATCTACATATTTTAGCGTTTTGTAACAAGGTATACATTACCCGCGGGTCCCACGGGGGAGGCACTCCGGATACGCCGCCCGATCCATCAAATTTGCTTTAAAAATGAAATGTGTACCGTTCCAGTCCCAAGACCGATACAAAATTGAAGATATAAAAACACGAAATATCGGTCGTTGGAGATCGTAAAGTATGCCATTTCTGCCTGACGTTAATATTTAATGGACTTACATACATATCCATTAAAAGGAGCGTCTATATAGCTAATGGACTTTTGCAATTTTTTACTACATGGTTTAAAAATTATTTTTACTTCATACTCTATCTTTAAACACACGTTGACGTACTTTATTTCCGTCCGGTAAAAATTGTTTACCGAACTCTTTTCGGGAAGTTTTCTCAACTGTTTACCATTCTAGGCCTGTAAAACATTGTGATGTTTTATGTTTTTTTTTGGCAAGAACAACCCTGTAGCCAGTCTAGTCAAGTCGTGGCAAATTTCTCTATTCGTGCATGGGAAATCTCGAGATCCAGAGGAAAAAGTGAATGTTTAACCGTCTTCTCTTCTTATAGTACCATCTTCTAATGAAGGTTGGCAACAATCGCTGCGAAACACTATCTGTCCTGTGCAGCTCGAAACAGTTCGTGTGAGTTCAGTCCAGTCCAGTCTCGTAAGTTTTTCAACCAAGAGTACTTGCCTCTCCCAAGTCCTCTTCTGCCTTCTACCTTTCCTTCTATAATCAACTTCAGAAGCTTTGCTCTGCTATTGCGCATGACACGGCCCAGGTATGCTGTCTTCCGTTTTTTTTTATATTTGCAAGTAATTCCCTTTCCTTGTTAAGCCCTCCAAGAATCTCTTCATTGCGTACATGAACTTTCCAGGGTATTTTCAAGAGTCTTCTGTAGATCCACATTTCAAAACCCTCCAACCGTCTCATGGTATTCATTTTTATCGTCCATGTCTCACAGTCGTATAGGATGATTGAGTATACATAACAATGGACAAAACGCAGACGTATGTTGATGTTGAGTGATCGGTTTGGTTTGGTTGCGGTTTGTCATTTTATTGAACATTGATCTAGCTTGTTCTATACGCGATGTAACTTTTAAGTCGGGGTCAAGGTCCGATGTTAGCCAGGATCCCAGGTATTTGAACTTATTTACCATATCTACACATTGTCCCTATACTCGTATGTTGGGTGGTGGAATATTTTTTCTCCTACTAACGACCATTATCTTCGTTTTTGCCGTGTTTATTGTCAGGCCCAATGGATCTCCTTCACGAACTATGTCATCTAGAAGTTCTTGAACAGCCTCAGGGTTGTCAGCGATAATCGCAGTGTCGTCTGCATACCTAAGGTTGTTAATTGGGACGCCATTTATTTTTATGCCAATGCCTTTATCTTGTAGGGTCTTATCGAATATATATTCCGAGTATATATTAAACAACAAGGGAGACGACAGTACACAGCCCTGACGAACTCCACTTTGTACTGGTATTTCGTCTGTTTCGTCTTGCCCTAACCTTATGTATGCTGTCTGATTCCAATATAGTGTTTTTAAGAATTGGATATCGTTCTTGTCTAAACATTTTTCTTGCAAGACGTTACAATGGACTTAGACCAATCACAATCACAATCATTATTTGTAAAGAGTATAAGAAAAATACCGTATGATCGAAAAAAAACGGAGTCCAGTTGGCTTGGAAATGAACATCAATGACATTCCCCATTTAATTTTACATACAAAATGACAGCGATCTTCATTTCATAGCCATCGCTGACGCCATTTTTATTCGATCATACGGTATCTGTATTTGTACTCACCATATGTCCTTCCTTCTGCTTTTTTAATTATAGGACTATAAAAACTTGAAGAATGCTTAAACTTGAAGAAATATGCTTAAATACAAAAACTGCAGAACAAAATCCAAGCAATAAAGTAAAGGTTATGTTCTCATAATTGACAGAATATCAAATAAATTATGGAAAATTTTCAAGCACAGAATGGATACGAAATATGTAAATGTGAATCACATCTATTTTTTAAAAGTTTCGAAAAATGTTTGCCACCAAGATCTTTATTGTTATAGCTTATGTAGTGAAACCATATTTTGATAAAATGTTTCGAAACAAAAAGCGATTTATGTTACGAAACATATATACAGGGTGGTCCGAACTGTATTCCGAAACTTTGCCAGCATATTCTGCAGTTAAAAATAAGTAAAAATGTTCTTATAAATGTATGTCCTAAAATGCTTAGTTGGA